CAACAAGATAAGTCAGTTGCACCTAACTTCTCAGACAAGACTGCTCGAAAAAAAAACAAATAAATAAATAAAAGTGAAAAAACAAAAAAGAAAAACTATTTTTCTTCACAGCTAGAAGTAGCTTAATCTCTTCTCTCAGTTCGCGCAATATGTTGTTTTTCGGCAACTAACGAATTTCGACGTAAAGTTTAACGGTCAAAGTTCATTTCAGCGAATATTTTTTTCAATGACCGAAAATTTCCATTTGATCATTGTTATAAAATTCCCAATTTCTGTTATTCATTTCGGATTTCCATTTCCTTTTATGATCATTTCCATTATATTAGCAAGGCATTTAGGAAGGAAGAATGATGAAAGCTAATAATGCTTGACAATAATGTTAGTTGTTAATGCAGAGGGGATTCGTTTTTAAAAAAGCATATATTTTAGCCATTGCTTTTCATAATAATGGCAAAAAATTTCCATTTGATCATTGTTATAAAATTTCCAATTTCCATTATTCATTTCCAATTTCTATTTCCTTTTATGATCATTTCCATTATATTAGCAAAGCATTTAGGAAGAAAGAATGATGAAAGCTAATAATGCTTAACAAGTATTAATTATTAATGCAAAAAGGATTCTTATACTTTATTGAAAGAATTACTAGACCGGAGTATAACATTGTTAAAATGTCAAAAATCATTCAGTTTTCCCCAAGTATAATATTATATTTCTGAAGAATTTTCCATTATTACATGTCTAACCTTCAATATATTCTGTTCCCAAAAATCAATAATCAATAATCCATCTTTAATAGTAATATTATGAGCATCTAAAATGGTGAACAAGAATTGAGCAACAACTGATTACAATTAGAAGTGTCTGTTTGATTCATCACATCATACCGTAAAGTGAATCATGATAAATGTCTAATTTTCAAAACATTTTACTTCTCAATGTCATTTGACACTATTTCATTTCGAACTTTTATTGTGACATTTTGACAGAGATATTTCTTTTGTACTTTCTTTTCCATTCATTTTAGCTTCCATCTATAAAACTTCATCAATAGTTTTCTTTATCAAATGATATTTTACGAGTGTTTCTCCTAATGCATGATGTGGGGTTTTTTTTTTTTTTGTCTATCAACTTTGATATCTCAAACGATATGACTAATACTTTTTCTGATAATCACTAGGATCAAAATTTCTGTTTTTTTCTCTAATTCTTTAATTTTCCTTCGCAAAAAATTTTTGATGATCGGTTATTTTGATAGCTTTAAAGCATTATTTCAAGGAATGATGGCACATATAAATACATTGTGGTTTTATTTTCCTATTTGTTTGAATTTAGGTTAATCCAAATTTAATATAACTCTTTTAGGCTCTCTTTTCTATAAAATGAAAAATAAAATAAACATTAGCTTTAAGGGCTTTTTCTTTGGCTATTGGATTACTAAAATTAAAATTACATGAAAAACAAAACTGTTACAATATTAGAGAATAAGTAATAGAAACAGGGAAGCGAAAATTGATCAGACAAAATGATAAAATTATGTAAGTAAAAAAAAGTTAAAGCAAAAAGGAAATTTCTGGAAATCTGTGAACTTCTATCATTTGAATTCATCATCATAGAAGTGTTAAGAAATGATTAAACGTATTATAAATTAATAAAAGAAGGAAGAAATAAAGTTCGAATGAAGAAATTGCAATTTTAGTTAATTATAACTTACTAAGATATTGTTATAAAGTCTCAAAATTTCAATTTTATAAATAATTTTTGGTTTTTTGTTCTTTTCTTCCACATCTTTTAGTTTAAATATCACCTGATTTCAATATTTTTGAATTTACCTTAAATTTATTCATGTAAACTATTCGCTTAGTATTACATTAAGTAAATATACTAATTATGAGAATGGAATAGTATTTTAGCATTCTTTAATTCCACTTGTTACAAGATGCTTCATTCAGACTTTTTCATGCAAATCATCGAAGATACGTTATGTTATATACTTCACGTAATTTCACGTAATTTCACGTGACGACTAATGAGAATATCGACAGAGAGTGATGTTATGTTTCGTTGAGGTAAATGATGAAAATATAGATCATTTATTCATCATCATCTTCAAATCGAACGATAATGTTAACCCTGTTTGGAAATGATGAAGATTTCAAGAGAAAGAGAAAGAGACATGCGGAAGATGACATTCTAATTCAATGTTTAATGCTTCATCTTTAGATATCATCTAAAATTAATGGCTTTTTCATTTAAATATTTACTAGAACTATTTCAAATATTATTTAATTATACTTATTTAGTCGTTGATATAATTTAAAATATACTAAATGGACCAATTAATAGCGGATATTTTCAACTCATACGTATATTAACAAATACTAATAAGCTGCATTATATGTAATTATTTCAGTGGATTTTTCTCGAAGAGAGAAGAGAGAAAACTTCCGATTAAATAATATTGCCTAAGAAGTTGTTAAACCTATTGAATGCGCCTATAGGCATACTACTTGTGTCATATCCAGGTAAACATTCATTATTTCCTGTCATACTATAATTGATAATTATATTTCATTAGACTTATTCGTTTGTCTGTTCATATGAATTACATTTCAATATTTCTTTAAAAAAAAAAAAAAAAGAAAAAAAAGTGAAGCACAATTTTGTGAATTATATGGGAAAATTATCGATCCATTTGCACTTTCCTTTAATAAAATTTCAAAAATTTTTCGCCATAAACAATTAAAAAAAGACAGAAGTGCTAATAGATGAAAGCAATCAAATTTTATTAACCAAAGAGTAAACATTAAAAGTGTGGTACAACTTTGTTGCAATTATATTTGCATGCAACAATTCGATAATCAATAATGTTATCAGTCAAGCAGAGAGGGATGGGAACGGGGAGAAAAGCATTTGTTGTGTGTTGATGGAACATTTCGATTAGATGAATAATGTCAACTAATAGTTGGAACGAAAGTGCCATCAAAATTTTACATTCCTGTCGAGAATTGAAATGAATGGAATGTTAAACGATAGGTTTCCCTTTTCTTCTTTTTTTTTTTTTTTAACATTTTCTTTTAATGTTATCGTTTATATTTAGCTACAATTATACTGCATATATTTTGTGTAATATTTTGCTAAAAATTTGAATGCATTTTATGCGCGCTTTTTGGATTGCCGCATGTTTTCTTTTCTGTAATGCTTACCCTAAGATATTATGCGCGCGTTGATAGGTCGATGTGAAAAGTTGATTATTTGTGAATAATTTGCGTAAATTGAAATGTATGATTGAATTAAATGTTTGGAATTAATACGAAGTTTAGGTTTCTTCCTTTATATTATATTCATCACTTCTTTTCATTTTTCCGTAATAACAACGACAAAAGCAAAGAAGTCTGATGTAATGGTTGAAGATCATAACCTATTGATTACCACTATAATTAATGATTTACATAGATCAGGGAGCAAAATTAGCAATGAAGTATTATGTTTATTTTGAATTGTATCAACTGGTCCCACTAATTCAAGCATTTCCAATCAAATTTTAATTATCATCATCTGTTCTATTTTTTGCTTAAATCACGTCTAAATATCAAAGGATATGCTTGAAATATTTGCCTCTAATGAGCATGGATAAACTTCATGTACGAAGATTTAGGGAGGGCTCTACTTATGCCTACTGCAAACGCTACAAATGTGGATGCATCCTTCGAGCCTGCTAAGTGGATTTTTTTTTTATATGGGGCGCAGCGTGCGCAGAAGTGGCCTAATCGTTTACTCTTAGGATCTATCTGCTGAAGCCTAGCGAGCTAGGATAGCGATAGCGAAGTCCTTATGATCTAGGTTTTGTTAAAGTACCTTTCTCTAAGATGGATGACCTTAGACGGTTAAACAAGCTCCATCTGCTTGGGTTTTTCTTCTCTTAGAAGGGTTGCCGGCAGACTAGCGAGCCCATCTTGCCCGTAGACACATTTTGTCTGAGTCTTCAGCTGAGTCCTGTCTGGCATGGGAGACACTACCGGAGACATATGCACCGCTAGATAGCAACCTCATAAAGGTACGCAGGCTTTTCCTACCGTCATAAGAAGTGACCGTGGAGAAGATTTGTCTCTAATCCATAATAATTATTAATATCTACCAGAGTTTTAATAACTTCACAAATCGTATTACAACTACTATTAACCCGCTGGAAGGAACAGTTCATCGATCCTGAAGTTATCGATCTTCCTAGCTTTACAATGATAATCTTAATCATTCGTTCTGTTGTTACAAAATGTTGTTGCTTATTGGATTCTATATCCAATTTTTTTAAAGATTATCTCAAATATGAAAATAACTAAACGGAAGCCAAATCGTGAGTATGTGTCAACTCTTTTAGGAGTTTTACATATACTCACGAACGACACAGTCGAAAAAAGGCATTTGCAGAGTGAAACAGACTTCAGATTGAAAAAATTCTGGAAGAGACCTTTAAACAGTAGCATGACCAAATTCTTCAAAAACGGCATTTTGTGGAGATGTGAACCGGTATACCGTAACTATGCAACCAGCTTCACTGAAATATTCGATATCGCTATCTGTGAGTATTTTTCTGGTTTCACAAAGTAATTCTTTCTACTTTTAAATGGATATGCAGTTTCATCGAATACGGTAGTGTTCACACATACGCTATCCGGGAATTGAAATCTCCCGAAGAATCGGTCACATGATCAGTTCTTTTTACGCATATTACCCGGTAAGTGTTACTGGATTAACCAAAATATCTGACAACTTTAGCGTCAAATCAGGATTGTATTAAAGAGAAACAAAATTCTGTAACGCATAGAAATACAGTTTGGAAAGGAATTGGTACTGCATTTAGTGTCTTATTGTAATATATCATGGGAATGTGAAATATACATAACAAATATACTGTGGGTAAATAGGCCAGATTGAGATGATTCTGGTCTGAAATTTTAAATCATTCTTATCATAAAAATCTTCAGAAATATGGGAAGCATTTTGACATTAGTTATACCTACGAAAAAAAATTTGCAGCAGTATTTCACCATCGGGATCGTATATCGCAAAATCGTCATGTGAACGTTACCGTTATCTTTGATTTTTAAAGCAGGACTGTAGCTTATTTGAAATTAAAAAAAAAAGAAAGTAGAATGAGATGACGATTTAGCTTGCAATATTCTTTAGTTTGAATTATAAAATGAATAATTAACAGGGAATTCAATCAATCCATTTTGAAAACTGTTGAAATAGATAACCCTGGTATGATATCTTTTTCCCTTGATAACAACATATTTAATCATTTCAGAGCGGGGATTGGTTTGAAATTACAACTTTGCTGAAATTTGTTCGTTCGATAGTTGCATTTTATATTGTTTAGTTTCTGCTTAGTTAAATTACATTTTTCTACATCAGACATACATTTCATTTATAGCGTGCTCATCATTCAGCTTTTCAAATTATTTCGTTGATTAAGCGCATCACTGACATGTCTGCGTCATGATATTTTGAAATTCTCATGAAGTATTACTGCAAGAGAATAAACATACATACACACATGCATATACATGCTTTGTCTGAAATGGAACGTAAACATTATTCCTAGAATTTTTTTTTTTTTTACTTACAGAATATGCTAATTCGGACTTTTTAAAGTGAAAGTTTGAAATTTTGCTTGGGACCTGTTGAATTGCCTCTCTTAGCATTACTTGTTATTATCACTTCAATAAATTTCGAATTTATTTCTGAAATTCATTGTGCAGATCTCTTTGAACTCCTATATGAAATAGTCAGCCCAGAGAAGTATAAAAATAGCAGCAGGCATGCCATAAATTTAAAAGAACTCTTAGTGGTCTCTTAAAGGTTCATAGTCGTTGTTTGATTAATTTGATAGATTAAAGATCAAGGAAAGTGAAAAGATCGTTGGATATCTTGCCGTGTTTGGTTAGACAGAATGTATTGATAATGAAAGGTATGTTATCATTCCTGATAACACTTTCAAATCTAAACGGCTGTATAATTCACGGAAATGGTAGCTTTATAGGCTTAATTTTTGTCTTTCTTGATGAGATCAAGACTAAAGTCTATTTTGATTCGAAAATTACGCTTCGTTTTCGTTTGTGTCATATTTTGTCCGAGAATTTCCGTAACATCAACTTTTTTTCCTTTTAAAGAAACTTAAAATATTATTGTTTTTTGTCATTGAATCTGCTGAATGTATTGATCATGCTATAAAAGTTAATCAATCGATTCATGCTATCAGATGAAGAAGGATGAAATTGCAATGGTTAAAGCTTGGTCTTTTGATAGTATTTATTATTTCCATCGTTTATTTGTATCCACGATGGAGAATATTGAATGACATGTTGATTTTTGAACGAGTTTTTCATACAACAAAACTGGCAAGTTGTTTATTTGTTTATCTTTTCTAGCGTTTTTTTTTCCTTTTTTCAGTTCAGCTTTGATTTTCTGTACAGTTCTATTAGACGCCCTTTTTCCATTCATTCCTTTAAAAAATGAAGTATGGTAGAAATGAGATTATTCATCGCAATTTACATTTCTTCGTCTCATAAATTACATAATCGTAAATTCGAATTTCGTACCCTAAAATCATTTTTCGTTTCATACTGATCCCGAAATATCGACCGCTTCAGGATCGTACATCACTATCACCACCACTAATACTTGCATGGACAAGATTTTTCAGTCATCCCTGGGCTCAGCGTATTAAACACGATGTCAGCAATTGTGGTTATAACTGTACAATTACTGATGATAAGGAGTAAGTGGATTTCATACTATTACTTCTTAATTTCGACAACTGATAATATTTTATATTCCCTTTTTACATAGTCATACCAGTCACTTTTTCTTTTTTTCTTTTTTGTGGGGGAAGAGACTTGGCGATCAACTGTGAATCACCTAACAATTCACTTCTGAAGTGAAGGTTCCATTGCTGAGTGATGTAAATATTCGTGGGAGTTTCGAACTGGACGAACATTTCCTAAATAAATAAATAAATAAACAAATATATGTATATATAGTTGTGCCGGTTGCACGTATCCCTACTTCAATAATAATACGACGGTAACGTGATGTGACTATTTCAGGCAACTCTCAGAAGCTGTAGCCGTATTATTTCACATCCGAGATTTGGAAGTATTACCTCAGTCAAGGAATCCGAAGCAGTTGTTTGTATTTGTGCTGCATGAATCACCTCTATATACGTTTAATTACTTGGACCTGGTAGCAGATGATTATTTCAACATAACGATGACATATAGGTCTTCATGCCATTTTAAAGCGAACTTGTTTCGTTGAAATTTTTTCTTTAGTTGAAATCCGGACATTCAGGATAGGTTTCTTGATCTGATGTCAGCTGAAATGCAGGCACTTCGGTCTGAACTTCAGAATTTATCTGAAAATTTTTAAATGATCTGAATAAAGAAAGGATTAATATTAATTTAATGAAATGTCTTAATACAGTTATTTTCATAGGGTTAATCAGATATTAATTGTAATACTTCAGTTAATACTTTTTTAGAAACTCTTAATTAACGTTGTTACAGACATGACAGCGATATTTACATACCGTATGGTATGATGAAAAAAATAACCAATATCACACCGTCGGAGCAAATTTGGAATTGGAGTGAAGTTTGTTGGCTTTTTTTGATATGATAAAATGATTTAAGTTATAACTTAAAATACGAAAAACTAAGCCACCGTTTTTCACTGAATGATGAGTACGAATCCGGCATCCGTTTCCCGAGATAGCTTTCTGTTTTCAGCTGTTAAACCATTTCATTAGTTTTACGTAATATTTGCAGAACAAAAATTTTTTAATACAAATTGAAAAATATCAAAACACTAAAGTGTTTATTTGAATTGAGCAGAAAATTATCAAGTTTTTTCTTTTAAAAGGTGGTGAAAATAGCCAGCGCGAAAGTACGACCTGTCTTACAGTTGGTTTCAAATTGTCAGACTCGATCGAAACGTGAATTTTATGTGGAAGAGCTTCGAACATACATACCTATCACGCAACATGGACGATGCAACAACAGTACTTGTGATGAAGAATGCGAAGTGAAAGAAGCTGGTGCATTTACCGTTTTAATTTTTTGATTTAATTTTTTACTCGCTGATTTTTAGCTTTTTCATTCTGTTATACATTGCAGCACAGCACCGTTTCTATTTGGCATTCGAGAATAGCATATGCCGTGATTATATCACTGAGAAACTATTCAAATGTTTGGTCAGGTTGCTAGTACCAATAGTGCTGAAAAAGTCCATCTATGAAGGAATTTTACCGCCTAGATCATTCATTGCTGCAGATGACTTCACATCTCCACGTGAACTAGCAGAATATCTGCAATATTTATCAAATAATAGCACGGCCTATCTGAGGTACAATGTCTTAAATGCTGTAATAGTAATTCCAAGAAAGCATTTTAAATAATAGTGCTTTTTTTCCTCACAAATCAAATGATGAAAGATATCGGACAGTATCCAAAAAGATGCAATGATGAAGTGGCATTATGATTTACTTCCTGGATTGTTTGTTTAAATTATCACTGCATTGTTTGCATTCTATTTCATGGCCTTTCTCTCGACTTTCAGTTATTTTGAATGGACGAGACATTATCAGAAAACTTTCGGCGTAAGCAGTTACTGTGAATTATGCAAATATCTTCATCGTGGCATTGCTAGGCCTCGAATAATTCCGAATATCAAAAAGTGGTGGTTCCAAGGATGTATTCAGGATTATGCGGTCGATTTACTGAAAAGGGCTAAGATTATGGGGTTAATTTTCTGAAAAAGGCTAACATTATCAATTATAAAAAAAGCTAAGACTGAAAAAGGCTATTCATTAAGCTAAATTTCTCGCAGCTCGTTCCAGTTTACAATAACTCTTCGGAGTTGAAAACAGTGTATATAATAATCGATTAGCGACTTCTGTCCCCAACTTATAAAATGATGATTTACGAAAGTGAAGAAAGCCAGCAAGTGACATTGATTAGCGTAGGATGTGACAAACTACGAGTGAAATGTGGTACGTGCTGGTGACAACAGCAATTCGTGACACGAAAATCCAAATTATTCAATATTTTAAATCTTGCAAAATTTTCGACTTCCAGCAAATGTCGTTGCCGTGTACTTATTTCCCTTCTCGTTTTGTTTTGTTTTTGTTTTTTGTTTTTTGTTTTCTTTTTTCTCGGTGTCTTTTTTCAATTTGTTCGTTTTTATTCGAGTGGTTTGAATTTAAATGTGAAGTCTAGAAATCTCGTTTTGAAAAATGAACTTTGATTTGAACCTGAATAATCACTTGCTATGATTTGTTTTGGAGAGCAAAGCAGCACAATTAAATAAAAAACGGAATGGTTATAGAAAGAAATGTGACGGTTGACGGACGTTTACCAAAGAATAATTTTACCTGGAACGATTATCGTTAAAAACAGCTTTAATCCCTCTTAAACTGTCGATTATCGTTAAAGGATAGCTGTTCGAAGTGCCTTTAAATTCCACCCTGTCTTCGACTTCTGCTTTGCTCTTACTGGTCATTATAAATGCTCTTACTTTTACTGGTCATTATAAATGTTATAAAATATAAATATGAAATTATAAAATATAAATATATTATAAAAGCTTTGCTCTTACTGGTCATTATAAATGAAGGGGACTTTGGCGATCTTTGCAACTTTCGAATTGTAATTTCTGTACTTCCAAATTCTTATTCATATCTGTGATAAAGTGCACATAATTAACTTTGCGTAATTCGGTTTGTATCTTGCAATTCGTGTGCTGCAACATTTCATATTCGATATTCGAGTCATTAAGTCTAACATTAATGCAGTATGGAGAGCATATTTTCGTTCGATCAGCAAAATGATCTGATAGTTAAATGTGTGATGTTGAAAGGGAAATAGAAAGGCGGGGAAAAGAAAGATGAGAAGTGGAGTGGAAAAGGGCAAACTATTTGGGCGGTAGGAGCAATTCATTCATTTTAGTAGTGAAAATTCACTAAAAGGAAGAAGTGTAGTAGCAGAATGATGGTTGAGGAAGTTATTGCCATAACTGGTGGTAGCGGATTTCTTGCGCAACATCTAATCTCCTATTTACAGCGGACAGATCATCATGAAAGAGCTGTTGTCGAGATTCGAACCATTGATAGGAATCCATTCAACAAATTTCTCGGTATTACAAGCAACTTTTTATTCTGAATTTTGAATTTATATGTGGAAATTAGTTCCTGTTGCATGTTATTTAGATATTGATTTCATAATCATAATCATAGTGATAATAATAATAATAAATAATAATAGTCCGCTGACATTCTCTTAATCTTTTTTTTTTTTGACAAATATAATTATTTGAAAATTGATTAATTTATTGAGCATCTATTTCGATGTTTAAACACCCAATGGTCGCCTTATTAGTTTTTAATTAATTATTAGGTGGCATACTTAACTGTTGAAATTTCAATGCATAACGAAAAATGAGTGGTAGTGGTGGTCTTTCATTTTTTTCACTTAACTAATATTAAATTTTAAATTATAAATTTTCTGTAGAGAGGATCTAGGGGTTGTGATTTTAAATTGTAAATTTTCGAGAAGATTTTTAATTATAAATAATTGGGAATAATGCTGTTGATGTTAACGGAAGTCAATGCATAATGCTAGAATTTTATCAAATATATTCGTAAAGTTGTAAAATTAGGTTGAGATAGAATAAAATTTGAAATAGGCTCATATTTATCTTTTTATTACCATAGTTATGATCAAAAATCTTTCACATTTTTAGTTTTATACCATTTATCAGGAATAAATCAGGTTGTATGAAAATTAATAATTATGCGAGTGAGCATTTCTTGTGCTCATTTCTAATCAAAGGAAATTTCAAATCCCTTCATTATATTAGAATATGAAATTTGAAATTTTATGCTTCCCCAATTCAGAAATTTTCCATTTACTTGTCATATGCTTTTCGTCTTCCTGAATCTGAATCCAATCAAAATTTATTTAAAAAAAAAAAAAAAAAATACCTGTTGAAAACAAACATAACTAAGCAATCGATTGTTGAAGCACTCATAAAAACTGGATTTTGAAATCATTTTTCTTTTTCTTTTACGGGTATGGAAAGGCTTCTTGATAAAAAAATTTAAATTTTTCCGAAAAAAAGAACAAAAATCCTTTAGTTACATTCAGTATTTTATTTTGTATAAATTTTTTCATCTGTCTTTTTTTTCGTTTTATTTCAAAACAAATGATGTTTCAAATTTTATGATCATATCAGAATGTAAAATCTAAAATGTTGTGCTTCCTTGTTTTGGAAAATTTCAAGTTTACCAACTATCTTTCTTCGATGATCCGGTATTCATTCGGAAAAAAAAAACTCGTTAGAAACTGTAAACATAGGTGAAGATAAGATTATTTTTTTTGATATTATGCATTAGTAGCATTCATAAAAAGGTGCCCATGTGCCCATTTGACAACACCTTTTTTTACCTAAGATACATAAAAAAAAAAAAAAAAAAAAATTGAAAATTTTTAATGACAAATTTCAATTAACATGGCAAAAAAAATGTATTTTGTTTGTTTTTAATTAAAATAATATAATGAAGCATATGTTTCTTTCTATTAATTCAAAAAACAAAAACTACATAAATACAATGGTGAATACATATCTTTTGATCAATGATTAAAATAATAAGTAATTAATTAGCAAGTTTCACCATTTTTTTTTACAAATAGTTTTTTTAATTGTAATTTGAATATTTCTAAAATCATATGTAATGAATGAATTTGAATGCAGCAAACATTGAAAAGTATAATTAATCAAAAAATATAATAAATTATCATTTGAGTCCTAGGAAATTTTAACAATTTCCAATTACAGATTATCCATCATATATCCCTTTAAAGCATTATCAGCTTGATATTTGTGATGAAAATGCGCTTAAGAAAGCATTTAACTCGGTGACAATCGTATTTCATTGCGCTGGTAAATCATTGGAATATTTACATGATGGCATTAATCATATTGATCAGTACTGGTGTGATAATACCAATGGTATTATTATCATTTGTTCATTGTTTCTCTTAATATTTGAGATAAATTAAAAAATAGCGTTTTTTTCCTTTTTGAAATTTCAATTCTTGATATAAATATAATTAGTTTAATTTCCCTCTTCTGATTTTCCTTTTTTTATTTCAGTACAAAAATTGAAACTTGATATAAAGTTTAATTGAAAAATTCAAAATTAAACAAGAAATATCGGATCGAATTTTGTATTGAGTTTTTTAATTTTAAATAAAATTTAAATTTGAATAAAATTAACAATTCAGCAACGGAAATTCTGTTAAAAGTTATGCATGAACAAAAGATATCGTATTTGGTTTATGTAAGTGATGCGTATGCAAATTTACCTATTGGTGATAATTTTGGCTTATCAGAGCAAGTGCATCTTGGTTTTCCAAAAAATTTCATGCTTGGAATTTATGGAGAATCGAAAATACGGGCGGAAATGTGCGTTCGAAAAGCTGCTGCTAAGGGTATGATATTTAAAAATTGAAATGAATTAACAATGAAATAAACTGTTGTTTTTGTGAATTCTCAGTAGAAAATTACTGAGATATGTGATAAAGGTTTGACAGGGTTTATTTATATATATATGTATATATCACAAGCTTGAATTTAATAAATCAGTAAAATTTTTAAAAAGTATCACTATTCAAGACTAAACCTATGAATATTTACTCAGCTTATTAATTGTAACAATATTACAATTCTTTGATCTTGCAACATTTAACTTAATCTTCATTGTTCATCTGTATGAAGTTAAATTAAATTTAATAGATTAATTCTTAAGGTCAAATAAATGCACTAATTTTACGTCCAACATTTATCTATGGTGAAGGTGAAAAGCATTTGCTAAATTCGGCACTGAAATTATGTGCAATTTATGGTGGTATCCCATATTTACAGGATCAGAATAGAGGACATCATCAGTTCGTCAGTTTTGTTTTTTTTCTTTTATTTTTTCAAATTCGATTTAAACATTATCATTTTGTATAGATATTTACGTATCTTTTGCACGTTTTTGTTTACGTGATAATTTGTTAACACATTCATACGTCTACAATATACACACGTAACACACGTTGATACTTGTCGTGATATAATTTTGTATTTTTGATTATTCAGGAGTTAATGATAGATCGTTTATTCTTTATTTTGAAATAATTACAATGCATAAAACGCTTTGTTTTAATTATTTGAAAAAAATATTTTATAGCTTTATGCGGGTAATATGGCTGCGATAATGTTACGTGGAATGGTATGCTTGAAAGAAGATCCAGAGCGATACAATGGTGAAGTGGTAATTTGTATGGATTGTACACCATGTACACGATTTATTGATGTAAGTTAGGAGTGAATTATTACTATCGATTATCTTTCATTGCAAATTAAGAATGAATTATTATTATTATTATTATTATTATTATTATCATTGTTACTATTATTAATTAATTAATTAATTGTTATCAATTATCTTCCATTGCATGTTCTCAACTTATTCGTTTCAAAGAAGAGATTAGATTAGGTATGAAAAGAACACTTTGAAGATCATTTTATCCTCTCATCCTTACAATCTTTCTAATTAATAATACTAATTATTCACAATAAAATAAACGTCTGTTATAGTTTATGGAACCATTTTTGGAAGCAAAAGGTTTGAAGCGTATATCAACATCAAATTATTTACAAACGCATTTCATGGGAATATTTTATGAAATTTTGAATAAATTTGCTCCAAAAAATTCTTACGGCCATTTGACATTATTGGCGAATAAATTTATCAATTGTAAGTATTTAGAAAAAGTGAAATTGATAGAATGGATTAAATTAATTAAATTAAATTTTAAAAAAAGCGTTTTTTTTTGCTTTTTATAAAAAATCATTGAGATTGATTTATTAAATTATCTGTAAATTAATTGGATCACTTTTCCTCTACTTATAATTTTTTTCATACTTTTATAAATTGTCATCAATTTAATGATTTTAAAAAATTTGTCAGAAGCATAATATTGATAATTTTAGAGCAGTATTTCAGGTTGGTCAATAGGATTTTCCAATCGTAAGTTGCGTTTATTACTTGATTTTGTGCCACCTTATGAGCAATCGGAAGCAGTGGAGCAATCATTACGTTGGCATCGCAAAAATGGACAAACCTTTGGAAATCACAATGGAATAGTGAAAATGAAATAAATTTTTGAGTAAAACATACAAATTGCTGATATATAATTTATAAGCAGTGCCATTAATAATACTATTAATAAATGATAATAGTATTAATGATACTATGCTAATAACAATGATAATAAAAACATTAATAATATTATTATCATTATTATTATTAATAACATTAATAATAACAATAACTATCAGAGGTATTGATAATAAACTAAAAAACAATGCATTAAAATTAGGAAAAGAATAAAGGGAAAGTACTGAATGGGAACAGAAGGGAATTATAAACATTATAAAAGCAATGAATCACTGATCTGAGAACCGATTAACTGATTGATTGATTGATTAAAAGTACAATAAAATATTTGAAAACATCAATGATTTGACAAATCGCCAAATAAAAAGGTCACTTGGATTAAAGTAATGGAGGAAAAGGTCAAATTAACAAATATTTTGTTTAAATATAACAATCATGTCAAATCACACGAAAAAACAAGCCAAGAAACTTCTTCACGAAAATAATCAATCTAATAGCCAGGTAGAATCCATTGTTAATTATGATAAAGGAGAATAATGATTGATATTTTATAGCAGATTAAGATGACAAAAGTGTTTACAAGCAAGCAATTAATTGAATGAAATAAGTAATTAAATAACAAATAGTAATATAATTTTGTTTACAAAATATCAAACCACTCATAATTATAAGGTAATTACTAGCTGATACATTGATATACACTGTTATCATCAATGCAGTATAGGTTAACATCATCTCTTATCTTGAATAATTATAAAAATATAACGAATAATTTAAATTATCAGAAAAACCATAGCCGACAAATGATTGATGAAAAAAAAAAACGAATGATGAAAAAATTGGAGACCTGTATGCTGTTGCATGAATAAATTTTAGATTATAGTGGTTGGTGATGTTGAATTTTTAATATATAACAGTTATTGTCATCTTATCTCTGTTATTTTTCATCACTACCGTATTACTGACATATACTCAGATATTATGGGTAAAAATGTGAATGAATTAACCAATCTATATGGATAATTTAAAATTATTCGAAAATTTAGAATTTTAACGATTAGCAATGCTAATGATCATTGTCATTGTCAAAGAAGAAGTTAGTAAGAGAATGACAAATTCCAACGAATGATATATATGTCACAGAAAATTTTTGACATTGCAACATTGTTATAGTTCAATGGAAAATAAATCGAAAATGTGGAAAAATTATTGATTTGAAAAGAGCTGTTATCATTGAAGTAATATTGATCGATTAAATGTATTGTGACAAATAATGCAAAAAGTTTATCATAATTAAAGTAAAATGTTGAAGGAAAAAAAAGGAAAAGTAAAATGAAAATGGTAGTTGAAATTTAAATCATTTGATTAACTTATGGGAAATTTTTGCATATCAATGATAGATATCAATATGATCAAGTTGTCTTTTCAGAAGTATAAGCATTATGACAAAAAAATTCTTAACAATGTGAAAATAAAAGAAGTTGAGATACTTTAATATAAATATTGGTAGTAAGAAATATAAGTACAATATCTTGAATAATGGATTTTAAAAGGTAAGATCGATATTACGATTCGATAGATGATAAATGATAAGAGAAGATAACCTATAACAACGATAGTTAACTATCATTAGAAAGACTACAAAATATTATGAAAATATCCCAATAACTTTTACAATTCTGGATAACATTTCAAGTAGTGAAGCATCGAAATGCAAATGAAATCCTCATTCTAAAAATAAATGAAATGTATAGCTTAATAATAAAGCAATTTTAGAGTTACAATTATTAATCAATCTGCCAATGAAATGATAATATTCATAGTAATGCTAGCATTTAAAATTTGTGGAAATTTGACAAATTTAATATGAAATGATGATTGGAAATGGATAATTGTTAATGAAATAACAATTGATCAAATATAATGATTATCTCTAAAAGAGTAGTGGCTTAAACTATTTAATTATGAAGTAATTTGAAATGACTATCATGCCAACTTTTATTTCTTTATACGATAATGAAATATATAATTCATTGAATTTAATAGCATTGTTTAGATGAGACTAGAAAAGAAAAAAAAAAACAAGACAAATCATTTAATTTTTACATGTTATCCCCCATTTCATACATTCATTTCTACGATAGAAATGAATAAAACTTCAACCTAATTAATTTATCACTAAATTTCAATTTCAAAAAAAAATATATCTTTACATATCTTTATATATATATATATATATATATATATATATATATATATAT